AATGTTCCACCATTTTTCTAATTGATGAAAACATCATTGGACAGCCTGAGTGATCGCATTTAATGGTACACGTATTAACACTTGATAATGTCCGAACTTGGTTAACTCGAAATCTCGTGATTAGAGGTGGTGAAGGTGTCGGGACATATGGCGTCATTGACGAGTCACTTATATCATCAAGACTTATGGTGTCGGTGTCTTTGGCCAATGGGTTACATGAACTATTATGTTTTTCCCAATCGTTAAAGGAGTCAAAAGATCTTATGCAAAACACGCAGTCGAAATTATTAGTTCCGTGTTGTCGTCTTTCATGTTCGTTTAAAGAGATGATCGACTCGAATTTCGCATGACAGATAACACAAGGATATCTAGGATGGTGTCGAAGATAAACATGTATGTTCAAGTCTTCATCAGTTAAAAAGCTTTCGACGCAACCCTCTTTTTGACATTTTATTAATTGTAATTCCACCGGAGAGTAATCTGGGGATCTATGACCGTTGTTCATCGTAAGAAATAATGTTTCACGCGATGTGTCACTATCTTCTAATGTTATTGTTTCGGGGTTTATCCGGACTGATTTACAAATTATGTTATGTGAATCTAAATCTTCCTTTGTACTGAATTTTTCATCGCAATATATGCAATCAAACAAATCCAACCCATGATGAGTTTCCTTGTGATCGCGTAATGTTTTGGGTGATCTGAAGTCTTTGTTGCAATCACAACATCTATATGAGTTTGGAAATTTTCGAAATTTAATTTTGTGATTACGTTGGCGGTGTAGAACAAGATCTCCCTTTTCAGTGAAAAATTCGGGGCATAGGTCACATTTCCTTGCCGACTTGAGCTTTCGGTTATGCATAGCTTTCTTGTGATTGTATAAATCGTAGCCACTTGAGAACTTTCTTTCACATAATAAACAATAAAATGGTTTTGCTTGTTGTTTGGGTGTATTTTTATTTTCTGTCAAACGTTTAATCCGTTCAACTAAAGGATCAGGTGGTAATTTGGGCCTGCCGTTGTTGAGCTGACGGATACAGTCAGCCGAGTAAGTGTCGAGATGTCTAAACGATGCGTTTTGCCAGCAAAACCTTTGCTCACATGAGCCTGTAATGCAATGATACTTAGGTTCCCTATTGTGTTTATATACCAGGTGATGATCAAGTTTTTCTTGATTTATAAAAGTTTCATCACATTTGTGACAAACACCGTGCTCAAGTTTGCCGTGTTGATTTAATTCTCTTAGATTAAGAAATAATTTGCTGCAGGTTTCGTCTTTGCACGTGAAAGAAGATTGGATTAGCTTTGGCCAATTCTTGTCGCCGCTATACTTAGTAGTCGTAAATGTTTGAAGCAAAGTGTTACCGCCAGTCGTATTGGACTGATGACAGACAATGGGAACTTTGTTTTTATAGAAGGGACTGCTTATTCTTTTTTTGTCCGGTAATTTCATAACATTTAGCTCATCATTGCAGTGTCTACTTTCAACTTGATGATTATGCAGTTTTATGTAATCATAGAATTCTTCATTGCAGTTGTTACAGATTATTGGTGGTTCAAAACCGTGATGTATCATTTCGTCAATGAATTTGCGTGCTTGGAAAGCGCTAAAATCGTGTTTGTAGACCAAATGTTTGTAATATAAACCCGGTTCAATAAATTTCCCTCTACATCTCACGCATTCGATGGCTTCTAGACAACGTCGGTCGTTAGGTGTAAATATATAGGTTATCACGTTTGTCTTTTCTGATTTGTCACGTATTAGTTCTTCAACACTGGACAATGAATCCCTACTGTAGCTACTATCGTCATATAGGCCCGACATTGTATACTATTGAATATCAAGATTATGTTAGTTGGTGTATAGGTAAATGTTAGCAAATAAAATAATTAAAGCATAAAATATTAGGTATAACATCGGGTGACCGGCTTTGACTTCACCGAAAACACCTAAGTATACCTTAGAATTAAGCATATTCAGTTACTACATATACACACACAGACATACAATACCATACACAATACTACCTACAAATTGCATCTAACATTTTTAGGTTGTAACGCGGACGCCCAGCAGTGCCGTCACACGGGTCGCCTACCCACAACCTCTTAAATGTCAAGTGCTCTGACAATGGACTCGGCATAAGTAGGGGTCATTAACTCTAATTGTTTTCTTGTTGAATTATTCATAACCTTAATAACCGGTATATTCTCTGGTAGGTTTTCTAACCATTGATTATAATAGTGATTAAGCTCAAGGAGGTAAGGGACACGTATGTAACCACTTTCCTCGGCCCGCGCTCGACAATATATATTGTTTGTGAGTTTATCTATAGGGGTTTCGATATAAACTACCAGATCGTATTTCAAGGCGTCCGCATATTGAGATAACTGTTCATTAACTATAGCATCGAATACCTCACTTTCATAGTTAGACATGAGGTGTTGATCAACAAGTGTGGGTTTGAACACGCGAATCGCGGAGAAATACGATCTCTCCATAACCTTAATGTCTGTCCCGTCACAAGGCAATGCTCTGTGATGGTCAATCATTGTAAGTGCAACATAACTTTCAAATAAAAAGGCTCTCTTATCAGGTTTCCTATAGTAGGCTTTTAATAAGTTAAGGCCGTTTAGGTCCCTCCACTTTTCTATAGGTTCATTATGTATTGAAAGTCTGTTCGCTATCTGAGATTGCTTCAAATAATGACTAAAGGTTGTCTTTCCTGACCCTATATTCCCCTCAAGTAATATAGTTTTATACATTATAGCCCAAAATCAACAACGGTATACCACTAGGCCCTAAAGATTACTAAATTAAAATAGTAAAATAATTGAAATAAACCGGTTAAATAACTTAATTGATTGATTTTAAAATTAAATCATGGAATGGTCAGTTTCGATTGAGACAATTATGCTCAAGTGTTTTTAACTTAATGTTTAACAAGTAAATCAAAAGTGAGTTACTACGGCCGTTCGTGACTCACGATTACATACACTTGTTTATAAAATTAGTAAATGAATTGATAAAAAAATTGAAACATAAAATAAAAGGATAGGGTTATTGTGTTGGAAACACCTCGACCACCGGGATCAAGCACCCGGCCCAAGGCACAACTGCCCGGGTCAGTCAAGGGAAGCAAATAAAAAGACAAAACATAAGCAAAATACATTTAATTGAATTAAATAAATATAAATTTCAAATTAAAATTAAATTAAAACAAATAAATCAAATGTGGGGCTTTTGGGAGTTTAATATCCCACACTTCTGAAAATTGATCTCATGTAACGGTCTAGGGAGGCGATTGAAAGAGATAGCGTACCACTACTGTGTATAGTTGGTAATTGGCTATTGAAAGAGATAGCGTACCACTACATTGGGTATAATCGGTAATTGGCTATCGAAAGGGATAGCGTACCACTACTTTGGGTATAATCGGTAATTGGCTATCGAAAGGGATAGCGTACCACTACTTTGGGGTATATTCGGTAATTGGCTACCGAAAGGGGTAGCGTACCACTACTTCAAGGGTATTGAACTATTTTAGTTAAAATGTTAATTTAGGCTTACGGTTAAATTTGTGGTAAACGGTTAGGACCGCCTCTTTGTTATCTCTTGAGAACAGTTCGGTAGTAGTGATCGACTCTTTGTTGTTGTTATCTCTTGAGAACAGTTCGGTAGTAGTGATCAACTCTTTGTTGTTGTTATCTCTTGAGAACAGTTCGGTAGTAGTGATCAACTCTTTGTTGTTGTTATCTCTTGAGAACAGTTCGGTAGTAGTGATCAACTCTTTGTTGTTGTTATCTCTTGAGAACAGTTCGGTAGTAGTGATCAACTCTTTGTTGTTGTTATCTCTTGAGAACAGTTCGGTAGTAGTGATCGACTCTTTGTTGTTGTTATCTCTTGAGAACAGTTCGGTAGTAGTGATCGACTCTTTGTTGTTGTTATCTCTTGAGAACAGTTCGGTAGTAGTGATCGACTCTTTGTTGTTGTTATCTCTTGAGAACAGTTCGGTAGTAGTGATCAACTCTTTGTTGTTGTTATCTCTTGAGAACAGTTCGGTAGTAGTGATCAACTCTTTGTTGTTGTTATCTCTTGAGAACAGTTCGGTAGTAGTGATCAACTCTTTGTTGTTGTTATCTCTTGAGAACAGTTCGGTAGTAGTGATCGACTCTTTGTTGTTGTTATCTCTTGAGAACAGTTCGGTAGTAGTGATCGACTCTTTGTTGTTGTTATCTCTTGAGAACAGTTCGGTAGTAGTGATCGACTCTTTGTTGTTGTTATCTCTTGAGAACAGTTCGGTAGTAGTGATCGACTCTTTGTTGTTGTTATCTCTTGAGAACAGTTCGGGAGTAACAATCAAATTTGTATTTAATTTTAAATTAAATCAATAATGAAAACACATATTTTTGTCTTTAAAATTCATTTATTCTGATATAAAAACACTTTTCTGATGTTCACTCATACACTGTTAACAACCGACTCGATCGGGAACTTGTGAGTCAAACAGTTTTGTTGGACAACCAGTACGGGTGGGGTTTCATACATTCATACCATTCAAGGAATGGTATGCTGTTTGCGTAATGTTATGTCTATTGCGTGTATACTGAAGTTATTTTTGTAAAAATAGTTTATTTCAAAATAGAAACTATTTTTGAAACTACTTTAATATCAATATTATGATTATATCATATCATCATTAAAATAAAATCTAAATAAACTCTATGTAAACAACTTTTTGAATGTCATTTTGATATATTATTCATTCAAAAAAAAACTTTATATTGATATTTACAAAAAAATAATATACTATTTTATTATTGCAATTTTAATTTAAAAAAAAATAAATTAGTTTTTATTTGCTATTATTATTTTGTTTGTAATTAAAAAAAATTATTTAATAAATTAATATATTAATTAAATAAATACATACCAAGTTGAATTTATATTATATAATAAATTTTTAAAAATGACATTAAAATTCATAATTATTTTAATTATCATTTTATTTATCATTAACAATGTATACTGTAATACAGCAATTAGTAATTATCTCATAAAAAATTATAACTATTTTATTAACTATTTACTACTAAAATAAATAAATAATTAAAAAAAATTAATTTTTATTATTATTATCTATTAGAGTGCAACACAACGCTTACGGACAGCGAAGAGGGTGTCATTGATCTACAATTGTCGGGCAATGAAACTATCGACGGACTGGTATGTCATTGGCTGATACGTGTGCCGGCACCGCACCAACAGATACTGTTGATAACCGATGAAATGCAAATGAAATACTATGACAACTACTATGTCTACGACGGCGAAGATGAATCGTCGGGTGAACTGTTGGTCAAACATTACGGTTCGCGTGATATCAAAAATATTGTGTCGACAAAAAATACGGTGTTTGTCAAAATTGTTGCCGAATCCGATCGGTTTGGCCGCAATATATCTGTAAAGTTGAGATACCGGGCCGTCAAATTAGGTATGAGCTATATTATTATTATTATGTAAACTAAATAATATACAGTATTTAGTATTGTTATTTTTTTCCTGTTCATAGGTTGCAACGGTATATATACTGGCAATAGAGGTGAGATTAGTCTATTGAGGACACCCGATGAACAAACAGTACCAATCGGGTGTCACTGGAACATAACGGTGCCCAACGGCAAAAGTATACGATTGCTGATCGAAACACTAGAAGTTAAATATCCGGACAGATTTCGGATATACGACGGTAACAGTGAATCGGATAGACAACTGTATCATACAAAGTTCGGGTACGGTATGCAAGCCTACGGCGACGGTGTTAACGTAATATCGTCCAGCAATAAAATGTTAGTAACATTTCATTCGGACGTCAAACTGTATCTACCGTTTCGTATGAACACCATCTATAACATTACAATTAGACTGCACTGGGAGGCCATTGATCATGGTTAGTTAGATTAGATTTTATACCAATGTGTTCAAAGCTAACTAACTGCCCTTATTATTATTGCTATTATTTGGTTAGGATGTGGTCTACAGTTGAACAACACCCAGGGTGTCATCTATAGTCCCGGTTATCCCGGAAACTATTTTAACAATATACAGTGCGACTGGAAGATAACTGTGCCCATCGATCACATAATTGTCCTCACATTTGATGACTTTTGTACCGAAGATAACGATCAGTTGACAATCGACACATATACACCGTTACGTCACAGCGGTCCGCATAAGCCGTCCAATTTGTTGTCGTCGACAAACTCCCTGAGCTTGAAGTTCAAAACAGATCAATCGCTAACCGATCGGGGCTTCAAAATTACATACAAAGCCAAATCATTAGGTATTATAAAAAGGGGTTATATAGAGGAAAATGGGAATTAAGTGCGGGAAATGTATAACTAATTACTGATTTTTTTTTTAAATAAAAAACATTAGATCCCAACATAACGTTTCTCATATCGGCCTACAATGCAATACTGAAAGTTCATTCATCGCGTATCGAAACCCAGTCTATTGGCGGCCAACAAGTATCGGGATTTGTCGACTATGATCTCAGACGAGAGCTGATTGTCTGGTATGATCCACAACATCAACGCTTCTGTATCCAGTCGACAGTGTTTACCGAAATCTATGTCCAACCGGGCCGGCGACCAGTTAGTCTGGCACTGGACTGGCAACACGGCCTACTCTACTGGCTGGACATACAGCCTAAATCCATAAACGTCGTGTCGCTGGACGACAACACCAAACACCAGTACACGGTTTGTCTGCTGAGAAGCGATAATCCACGCGATTTGGTGGTCAATGCCAAACGTTCGGTACTTGTCTGGAGTAATGTCGGCAGCCGTGACCCGAATCTTGTCCAGAGTCAGATGGACGGCAACAATCAGACAATTTTCTACCGAAACTCACGGCACGCTTTTCACTTGACAATAGACTATCAGTTCGATCGGTATTTCTTTGTCGACATTGAAGACCATTGCCTATACTCTATCGACTTTGACGGCAACGACGAACAGTTGTATCTGAAATCCAGAGAACTGTTGGATCCAATACTGGCGATGTCGGTAATAGACAACGATCTATATTTTATGAATGAATATCTATTGTATAGAATACCTGATGTAAATCTGTCGATAAACAGAGCACAGGTAGCCTACAAAATACACAGATATCCGACTATTGATAGCCAAGAATATTTTATGGCCAACACTGTCGACATCGACCGACGCGAGTTCAATGGATTTAAGATTATTGATATCCGACTACAGCCCGATGTCGATGAAGGATCGGTTAATAGGTACCGATCGGCGGCGGCCAACTGCCAGGGCATATATTTGCCAAGTAGTGGAAAATCATATCGGTGTCTGTCGGCGACAACTGTCCCATCGTATAGTCTACCAGTAAATGTAGTAATAAATTCTGACGAAACAATTGCGGCCACATTGTCGACAAACGATAGATCCAATGGTTTCGACTACTATTCCTCTAAAACAGCAAACAATGGCCACAACACTGGTAGTAGACTTGCGATTGTGAGTATCGTTTTCAATGCACTGTTAGCCTTTTCGTTGGTTTTTGCATTTGTATTGATTTTAAAGTAAGTATTTGTTTTCAGAATTTTTTTTTATTCAGTAATTTAATTAATTTTAATTGTTTTAATTGATTGATTGATTGATTGACTTGAATTATTTGTTTGCATAGACTTAAAACTATGGTCCAAACCTCCCGAGCTATGATGGATAACAACAACTATAATCATAGATCTGTAGCGATAACTGAGCCAAGAGTGTCGGTACGAAACATAGCCTACTGTAATACAACAGGTAGTGGTAGTAGTAATAGTAATATTAATAGTAGTATTGATCCCTATTTGTCATCATCTCAACAAAATTTGCTGGATATGGAAATTAGTACTAAATTTTAGATTTAAATTATTTTATTATTTTTTTGTATTAAAAAAAATTATTGTAATATTACTACTGTATAGTTATTGTTAATATAATTATTATCAAAATTTTATTTGTAATTATATAATCAGTAAATGTAATCAAAATTTAATGTAATTATAATATTAGATAAAATAAATTATATTTCCATTAGGAAATGCAATTTTATACACAATTTATTGAAATAATGATATTTTTGTTTTGTAAAATTAAAAAGAAAACTCCATTTAATTAATTTAGAAAAAAACTAATTTTAATAAATTTTATAATAATAAAAATATCTGTAAATTATTAGTTAATTTTATTATACTTACGTAATTAGAGATCGAAATAAATTTAGTATATAAATAAATATGAAATCTTATTATTACATAAATAAATTAATATATATATTTACACTAAATTATTACAAAACAATATTATACACCAAATAAATATAAAGATTCAATAAACTATTTAACATTTAACTTTATAAATAACTGAAACATTGAGAAAAAAAACTACTGTATTATTATTATTATTGTCATTATCTAACTGTATATTAATTAACAACAAAACAACAAATTCAAAATATATTAATATATAAAAAAAAACATTTATTTCATTTCCTCCGCCACCTCCTCATTAGTACCTGTCGTCGTCGTCCACAAACCTAAACGTATTAATCGTCTCAATGGTGTTACACTACGTCGTTGGCTATCAGGCGACGGGCGACGTCTCTGGCGTACCCGATCTGATCGGACGTTTGGTCCTTTAGCGTTGGCCACAATGTCGGTCACATTCATCTCGTACCGGATCCGCAATCTTTCCAATAGAGTCAAACAACGATAGATATCGCCGCTAGTTTTCGGCGGTATTTCTACCCGAGGTTCGTTACCCGCGGCTGTATTATCGTTGATCGGATGCTTCAAACAAATCCACGGATGATTTTTTAGGCCACGAATGGTAATTCTTTGGCGAAAATCGGTGCGAAATATATCGACAAACAGCTGTTGCAACGGTTTGTCTTCGGTAATCGAGTCGGGAAATTCGGGTATTCCGTCTATCAGTGGTATGGATCCGGTGATCATTTTATACAAGACGACACCGGCTGACCAAATATCGGCTTTTGAACCACTGTTTTGTTTTTTTTTGAATCAAAATATTGTAAAAAAAATAATTATTTTTTTACATTTAAATGACAACTACATAATATAATGTATATCTTTGTCCTCTACCTGTACGGGACAGCCGAGTCGACTTCCGGTGCCATATAACATAGCGTACCCTCCAAACCGGTAATCATGTCGTCCCCGGCAAACGGATCCACAACACAACAGACACCAAAGTCGACAATTTTGATGACATGCGAGTTATCTAATAGCAAGTTATCGTCTTTGATATCCCTATGATAGACACCACGGCTATGCAAATATTTGAGTCCATCGATTAATTGGCAAAAATATTGATGCGATTGCCATTTGGGCAGTGGCTTAAACTTTGGCATATTTGATGAATCGTCCACTGATGGCAACAGATCGCTGAGCGGACCGACACAATACTCCATAAATATATAGAGTTTTCGGTTTCGTTTGAAAACATCGAAAAATTTGATAACATTTTTATGGCATAATTTTCCGCACAAATCAATCTCCGTATCGATACAGTCGTCGATATTTGATTTATATCGACGTCTTTTGATTTCACTGATCCATTCGAGTTTGAATATCTTTGCCGCACACCTGACCAGTGTCTGCTTATTGACAAACTCCCTGACCTTACCGTAGGCTCCCTTACCCAACACTTCGCCTTTGATATAACCGTTATACTCTTTATACTTAACTTGTTTGTCAGTATCGATAAATATGACACCCGTTTCTTCGTCGATAACTATATGTGTATTAGTGTCGTTCAAATCGCTAAATAACTGATTATTATTATTACTATTATTATTACTATTGTTTTTGCTTTTATTGTTATCATTACTATTATTAGTATTATTAGTATTGCTGTCATTATTATTAATCTTATTATTATTATTCAAACTATCATTGATTTTATCATCAGATGTTGTCTTATGGCTATCATTACTGTCTTTTTCTGTCATATTTTTTTCAATTGTATTTGGTTTCAACAAAAAAATAACAAAAATTAATTTCAATTTTTTTTAAATCATTGTATAAACCGTTATAATTATATTTATTATTAGATATGTTGTTATTAATGTGTTTTTATTATTAATTATGTGTCACTATTTTTAATTATTGTAATTTTAATTATATTTTTCTATTAAATTATAGTTAATTTTTATTATAAATATTTTATTTAGTTATTTCAATATTAATAATATAACTTTATATATACAGTATATATTTATTCAGTATACAATATAATAAAACTTTATTTACTTTACGTTTACTGTACATTGTAATTTATCCATATAATATATTTAATACTAATTCAATTATCAATTATGGTATATAATTAAAAAATATATATATATAATACTAAAAATGTTTATTTTGTGCACTTATATTAATAGCACTATAAAAATACTTTATATTAAATATACAGCAAAAAAACAATAACAAATATTTACATTTAATAGTTTCGTTAGCTAACTATACCTATAGCTATAACTAGCATTATATAGATTTTAATGATATTTACATTGTGAACATTGTGATAAAAATACAATTAAAAAATATTGATTTATTATTATTTTTTTATTATTAAATATTGATATTTTAGTAATTGTAATATACTGTAAGTACATGTAACTGTTAATAAGTTAATTGTATTTGATATTATTTATTATTATTTTTAATTATATAATACTTGCATACAATTGAATAGTTTTTATTATACAGAATATTCTTGTTTTTTAATTAAAGGCAATAATTTAGACGATGAATGCTATCGAGAAAAATGTCGTCAAAAAACCCGACAAAATTGTGGCCAACAATCCCGATGACGACGACGACGATGGCTTCAATATTGTTGTCAACTTTCACCGAATGGCCGGAATAGTATACATGAACTACGGGCGCGGACACGTCCAGCAGCAGCGGCGGCGGCTAACAAACTGTTGCAAATCATTGCTAATATTGTACGCCCTGTTCGTATGGATACTGTGCTCGTTGGTCAACATACCGTGTCTGGTGTCGTGTCCGACCGCCAGACACGCATTTGCCAATCAGCTAAGCTATTATCTGCTGAACAGTATGTTTGTCGCCATTAACGTCAGCAACATTTACCAGTCGATTGTCTACAGTATAAGAGGTGAGGCTATTGGCAAACTGATTGGCCGATTGAATAAATCAGTTGTCAGTCGGCAATCGTTGAGACGTCAGCGTCGGCTGATCTACGTCTATATACTGGTGTCGATTGTGTTGATGTTCGGTCGGACCGTAATCTTTGAATTGGATCACTTGGACACCTGGACAGTCATACGTATTATCGAAGATTGTTTCGGTGAAGTTATGTTAGACTCTACCGGTTTCCTGTTGGTATACATCAGCTTATATATCGGTATAATTATCGATGAACTAACCGATGACATCAAACTGCATTTGGCCGCGGATGGTGCTGCTGCTGCTGATGATGATGATGATAATAGTAATGACAACCAGCACCACCAACACAAGTTGGATATGTCGGCCATAATCGGTCGTATTGTTCGCATACAGAAGCTGATCCATAGGGCTAACCAATTGCTTAATCCCTGTCTATTGGCCGCCTTTTCGTTAAACATATTCTTCATAGTGTCGTTCAGTTATTTCATTCAAAATCTTTCATTAGCGGACAACTCGTTTGCATTGCTCAACGTGTGGCCACTATTGATCATTTCGGTGATCCGTATGTTTTTGTGGTGTCTTATTGTCGACAACATGAATCTTAAGGTACAGTATTACTAATATTAACTAAAATTAACTAATGTTTTTTGGTGTGTTTTTTTTGGTTGTTTTTTATTTGTTATACATTAATAACAAAAATATTTTTATTATATATACTGTATATAAATATAATATTATATCTTTAAAAAAGTAATAAATTGTTTTTAATTTACAGAATAAATTAATCTTTGAGTTGTTGTCCGCAAAATTGGCCGATAATTATAACAAACAATTTCAGGTATTTATTATATGTACTGTTTGTTTGTTTGTGTGTAAACTAAAACTTTATTTTATAAAATTGATGTAATTATTTAGTAATTATTATTACAATTTTTTATTTAACATTAAAAAACACATACAACTAATACTTTAGATTAATACCATATTAAGTATACAATTAAATCAGCAAACATTCAATGCGTCAAACTTTTTCAATATTAGTAAATCACTATTTCTATCGGTAAGTAAAAATCATTTTAATTTAAAAAAAATATAATATTTAATATAATTATTTTATTTTTAATAATCTATTTTTCATAATTTCACCTATTTTTTAGGTTATTGGTGTATCAATATCTTATGCATTATTATTTATGCAAAATTTTCAGTGAATTCAATTATTGCTATACAAATCTTTAATAAAGTTTTTAAATAATTATTTTTTTATTAATTAAATAATTATTTTTTTTTGCTAATTTATTGTCAAAAAATAAAGTTTTTGATATAGTTTTTTTGTGTATACTGTATAATAAATCTATAATTAATAATATATACAATCAGTACACAGTTTTAATAAGTTTTAATAATAAAAAAAAACTAATCAATATTTTTCAATATATTTAATACTACGATATAATATGATATAATAATAATATGACTGTTAAGTGCAATAGCATTCACTCAAACAGATCCAAAAGTGATGTTGTCTTCGTCTGTCTGGCCATCGGTTCCTATATTATCACTGTTTGCACATTTGTCGTCAGCGTCGCCGTTGTCGATGTCTTTGCTGTCGAGTTGTTTGCGAAGTTTTAGTTCATTGCGTCCGATGAACGTAAAGTCGACGGCAGTGGACAGTCCGCTGGCCACACATACGGCTAGACCGCTGCGGTCGTGATTCAGACTTCGGGCCGGCGTCCAAATCTGAGACAACGAATCGTATTTCTCTACCGAACAGATGGGTGTCTGACCTGAAATGTCGTTAACATTTGATAAGAGATTTGAATTAATTTTTCTTAAATATTAACAAATTGATTCATACCATTATAACCGCCGATGACATAAATACTGTTCTCAATGACAGCGGTTGCAAATGTACTTCGCTTTGATAACATATTGGCCACCATTTGCCATGACTTGAGTTTGATGTCGTACTTCTCCACTGATTGTAGTCTGTGGTGATATATGAAAGAGAGAGAGAGAGAGACAAAAACAAGTGATATACTGAAAGATCTATTAAGTGATAGCTATCACATACCTTTCAAATCCATTGTTACCGCCGATGGCGTATAGAGCGTCGTCCAGAGCAACAAACCCGAGACTAGTTCGCGGTGTAATCATTGGCATAATTAGTGACCACGTCTTGGCCGTCAAATCGTAAAACTCGACCGAACTTTCGATCATCTGGTCGTTGAGTCCGCCGGCGATATAGATCTTACCCATGTATACGGTAGCCGAGCCGTCGCTTCGAGACATATTCATGTCCTGAATTTTTGTCCACACTTTGGTCTGCGGATCGTATTTCTCGCACGATTTTATCCGATGTTGGCCATTATGACCGCCCATTGCATAGATATTACCGTCGACTACAACCGTACTGACATAACAGCGTTTTTCATTCATATCTTGTCTGTCATACCAACGCTTTGTAATGGTATCGAAACACTGGACACTCTTCAAAATGTTGATACCGTCGGTGCCGCCGATCACGTATACCAGGCCATTGATTATCTTATAGTGTATATAAACAGGTTATACAGTTTGTTAAACAAAACAACAAAATTAGATAACATTGAGAGGACGGGTAGTGTTTACAGTACTTGCATTCCGTGATAAGCGCGGGGGCTGTTGTGAGATATCTTTGTGTCAAACCATCGGTTAGTCCTAATGTCGTACACTTCGAGCATAGTTGACGGTACGCCCTCCTGCCAGCCGCCAAACACTATGGCAATCTCGTGCGGGACGCGCGGCCTAATGGGATCGGGATGGAGGCCAACATACAGACCGTAACCGTCTTTCTCTGTCCAACAAAACAATTATTAATTTGTTTTTAAATTTTAAAACACAATTTTTTATAAGCAATACTTTTAGTAAATGTACGAAAAGTGTCGACAAATTTGTTGACCAATTGTTGACTGTCTTGATCTTCGACGATAAGACCATTCTTGGCCACTGTATTCTCGATAAATTCAATGTCCAGTCGTGCGTAACGAAGATTTTTAAGCAATGGATACAAATGACCACTTCGTTCATTAGCTGACCATTGGATCCAATGGATGATCGCTTCGTAAACGGTTTGCTCGGATTTGACATTCAGGTCATCGCTGGCTATCAATACTGTCAACTCGTCGGCCGATAGTTCTGGAAAATCCATACACTTGTAGATCACCTGTGAAAATGAATTGATTGAGAAATGATTGTCAAATTAAATCAATTACAAGAAGTATTTCAATCAGTCATTTACATCACAGAAGTTTGCTTTAATGAAATTGAATGACGCGTTTGACAGTCGGTGGTTGTGTTGAATACCTAAATGAAAATATTGGACACAATTGTCGATATCGAGTCTTGTGGCCAAAAACAAGAGACTGGCGTCCAATACATCAGTCATTTCATAGTCAATGGCAGCTCTAATCAGTGGCCAAACTGTGTCGTCGCTGACGCAAAGTGTCGACTCGTATGTCATATCGATGATGGACTTCAAGACCTGTTTGTCCATATCTTTGACAACAATTTTCTTGACTTCCGATCCATTGTCCAGTTGTACGGTTTCGGCGTTACTGTCACTCATTGCCGTCACCAAAGTCTTTGTAAACTGTGGACCCAATGTCGACACAATTGGCAAATGGACGCACTCTTCGCCGTCATCGTTGGTCACTATCATTACATCGATGGCTTCGCGTGTTTGCCGAAAGTATCGCAAAGCTTTTCCTCTGTCGGCAAACACATCCCAATCGAATGCTGTCGCAGTGGTGGTCGCATCGGGCGAATCGGCTACCGGTGCTGTCAATTGGTTACCACTAGTGGACGGTTGTTCATCAGTCGACGACAACTCATTCAAAGACATGTTTGAAATTTACAGTTTAAATTCAAATCAAATTCAGTTATAAATACAAACTTTATAACTGTTTTTTTCTGTATAATGAAAAACAAAATTAAAAAATCAAATTTGAATTATTTATCAAAAACGTGCCAACAATTTATTTATTCATTAAACATTAAATAGTAATTTTTACAGTAAATGATTGCAAAAAAAAAACAATTATTTTTGTGAATTCAAGTTTCAAACAAACATAATAAATGGTATTAAATTTGTCGTCAATTGTATTATCTATACTAATGTTGGTCGTAATCGTTGACCACAACCACCACTACTATTACTATACGATGGCCGACATTGTGGGCATAGAGTCGTGTTTGGGTTTATCGGAGATGAACTCCCGTTACATATCGTGTGTGACAACCGTTCGTCAGGTTTGGCGAACAAACGGCAAGAAAAGCGGCAATAATGCAGAAAAGTCTTTCTGTTGTAAGGCCTGGGATCTGAACGACTGTATTGTCGAGTCAGTAGAGGACACGTGCGATGATAAGGACTACGAAATGGTCGATAAAGTGTTCAATGATATCAACAAAAAGATTGAATTTGATAACTGTTCCAACTATACCTACCATAGCTGGAAATGTCATTTTCCGTTTTGGTTTAGTTCACTCATTGTTTTTGCTGTACTCATTGTGTCGGCACTGGCCATATACCTGTGCGTCAGATGCTGTCTATTATAACACATACATATGTACTGTATATCATAATTATAGTTTAAATTTATTAGCAGTTTTTTAAGTTTATTTACTATAAAACTATAAAATATAGTGTATATAATTTTATCTCAATTTTATTAGTTTAATTCATTGGTTATCATTTATAATATGTGTGTATATATATACCAATATGTATTATATTTATAAATTTATTAATAAATGTAAACTAAAAAAAATAATTATTATATTTAAAAAAAATATTATTATATCATAATTTTGTACAATAAACTGCATTACAAAATATTTTATCATTACATTACTGTATATTTTCTCAATATTGTTGATAAATTTATATATTGTGTTTAAAATATTAAATTATTTATTTAGTATAAATATATTTTTTTATTTAATAATAAAATTCACAAATAGCTGACTGAACTGAAAATTGTTTTGTTTTTTTTAAATAAATATTTTGTGATAATATCCGACAGTCTATAACTTCGATAAACTAATGATGAAACGGATATTGTGTTTACTATAAAATCTAATCTAAATCTCATCCAAGTTTTGACTAACCAGACATTTGTCGTAAAACTTTTTTATTTTAATTTGTAGGAAATTTTTTTTATCCAATTTAGAAATAAAATCAGTTTTTTTGTTGTTGTTGTTGTCGACTTAGCCTTATAAAAGACAGGCAAATATAATGTATTGTAAATAGATTTTTAAAAAAACCAAATCTACAGAATAGTTGTCATCATTGGCAACGACGCTGTTGTTGTTGTCTTTGTCCATCAATCTGATGGATCCGATTGGATATCAATGATAACAACAATTGCCAATTGGCGTCCCTTTCCCTAAGCATTTCAATGGCAATAAGTTAACTGTAATGATGTCCGATAATATAGCGTAAGAAGCCGTCGGTGTTTTAAAATAATAGCTACAAACAAAAATAATTTAAATATATATTTAATCAACAAAAAAAAAKAGTTAAAATAACTTATTTATATCCTAAGTAATTGTGATTATTAGTAATAAAACTTTTTCATAATTGTAATGAAATTGCGGTATACTTTTATGTTTTTACTAATCCCATAGATTTAACTGGAAATTAACAAAACAAACAAACWAACAAAAAAAATGCAATAAAACATTGAAATCAATTGAATTATTATTCATTCAGTTTAGTAGTATTGATGCTAACTATTATCGATAGTWATAATTTTGATTTTGTTTTGTTTTTTTTTGTGATAAATATTTGATTTTTCAATTTATTTGTGTCAACTTCKGTCAACACAATGGCCAGCGCTAGTGGAAGCCGTGAGTCGTCCAACAATAGACTTGTGAATCGTACGCTTCAATTGTCGGATATGTCCGCCGAACCGGTAGTCATTATGTATGTCGAAAATCCCGAACGTTTTTACTGTCGACTTAAGTCCGATGACCAACCATTTCAATCAATGATGACAGAAATTGATGGACATATTCAACGTCCACTAGACATTAGTCGGCCGTTAACTGTCGACGACATCAGTTCCGGCCAACAACTGTTGGTTTATTCAACAATTCATCAACAATGGTGTCGATGTCGTATTCAACAAATTATGTCCGCCAACACTGATAGAGGCGTCCGTGTATTGGTTGTTGATTACGGTAACGTAGAAGTGGTGTCTTCGTTGGCCAACTTGCGGCAATCGACCGATGAAATTATCGGAGCAAACAATGGTCAGTCGTTTTGTTTTGAATGCCGACTGCCAAAGATAAAGCCGAGAGGCGATAGTCCAGAGTGGGGTCCAAAAGCTATACAATCGTTTAAAGACTTGATTCGTGAGTTTCCGATGACATTGGGAACCGTAGAGAAGGACAGTTCGGGTGTCATTATCGCTGATTTAGTTTTTTATGACTACAATCATACTCTAAGATCTACGGCTCAATTCTTGACAGACCAAAGAGTTGTCTGTTATCGTGTGGGCGAAGATTTCTATCACAAACTATTGCCCGACGACTATGAAGGCGCTGATCACGAAACCAATGGTGACTTTGAATGGCATTCAGACAATGATGATGAAGAAGACGACAAATATAAAGACAACAAATTAATGTTTTAATYGATAGTTAATATAAATATATATATTTATAAATATTTTTAAAAATTATAGCAGTTTAGCAATTATAGCAATTTATCTTTGGATAAAAATTGAAAAAATATGAATACTATTTTAATATTGTTAAAAATATTAATACATTTAAATTATTGTTAATTTTTGTAGTTTTTAAATTATTTAAAAATATAGTATTACAATATTTTAGATAATACTATAAATAKAAGATATTATATAAATACTTATATAAATACAGTATATTAAAGTTATAWATAAATATAAAAATTAATATATTAATCTCAATTACATATATTTTTTAGCTTATATTTATAGGAAAAAAATATTTTCAAATATTTGATAATTATTAGTAGAATTATATGTTATATCTATTTTTATTTATTGAAAAAAACTGTGAAAAATCAGTTTRTATCACAAAATTTTATTACTCGTTTGTTAAACATTTTATAATTATTTGAATTTATTATGTTTTGTAAAATTTAATTAAAAAAAAACTTTATTATAAATAAATATTTTTCAAYATTTGACATTCAATTCTATAATTAAAATTATTTTTGATATAAATAATTATAATTATYTTAAACAAAAATATTTATATTAGCAAAATTATATTGTAATATAATAGAGATTAATTAATTAGTTAATARAAATTAATATATACCAATAAATAAATAAATTTATATTAGTTGTTTAAATATAWTTAATAAGTTTAAGTATATTTCAAGTACTATAAAAGATTTTATACAAATTATTAAATAAGTAAAACTATAAATGATATTAAAAATAACGTTAAATTAATGAATTATTAGATTTTAGTTAAAYTATATTTATCAATACTAACAAAATACTGTAATAATTTTAGTAAATAGTATTTAAMAAAAATTTATTTTATTTATATTTATAAATAACTAATTTAAAGTACAATTTTATTGTACAAATAATTTATAATTATTGATAACAAATGTTGTCTATTGTGGAGGAATTTTCTTCAATTCATTTTGTAGGGCATTCTCGCCAATTGTGGCCAACTTTTGGATTCCTTCTAACAATGCTTTACCGATATTAGTGGTTGGCTTCAAGTCTTGTAATTGTTTTTCAATGTCCTGAACGAAAGCAATAGTCTTCTTCAATCCGTTAATGAGCTCTGGTTTACCAGACTTTTTCAAATCATCGATTGCTTTACGCGTTTGATCGATACTATCGCTGACTTGTTTGAGTACCAGGTCTTTGATATCGTCGTTGATGTCATCCATTGGCGGAACTTTCTTGAGCTCCGATTCCAACCAGACTACTGCTTCCTGAGCTATGACTGACACGCCTTTGAATATGGATTTACCGACTTCTGTGGTTGGATTAAGTGCTTTAAGTTTATCATTGATACTCTTTGCCAATTCAATAGCTTTTTCGAGTCCATGTTTTAGTTCAGATTTGCCGCTCTTCTTGAGTGTGTCGATGGCATTGCGCGCCTGATCTAACAGATTGGATACCTGGGTTAGGATCTGTTTCTTGACGTCGTCATCGAGARATCGGCTTCCGATTGATGCCGACTCACAAACTATAGAAATATTAAGTAATATTTTTTTTGTTAATAAATATATTCAGTAAAATAGTTTACAATAAAATATCATACCGTAAGCAACAGTCAGTAATAGGACACCGAAGACTAGAAATTTCATTTTAAGTATTTCTTATTTGTTTTTTTAATTATATGATTGACTTTTTGAATTGAATTCAATATATTCAATGACTTTTGTGTTGAGACTACAACTCTTTATATACCCAAACAAATACCTGTAAAACAGTAGTAATAATACTGATATTGAAATACTTAAATAGATTATCAATAAAACTATATAATTATTATATAATACTTGTGTTCTTACTTAACAATTGTTAGATTTTTTGTTATCTCTTTAGTTTAAAGTTCACCAATTGTTCAAAGAGTAAAGTTTTTTTTAATACAAATTGTGTTTAACATTAATCTACTGTCAAACATATGTTTCAAAAATCACATATTATTATTATAGTTTACATTAATATTATATTATATTATTAATAGTCTATTTTCTATAAATATTAATACTGTAATATTGATAAAATAATATAGATTAGAGAGCGAAAAGTTTCGGACCCGTACCTGACCCGTACCTGATCTGATACCTAAAATCTCGGACTCGGACCTGACCTAACATAGGGTACAAATTTACCTTTTACCTATATGACCTGACTATGTAGGTCCGAAAATAATTTTATCAAAAAACAATTTTATTTATTCTATACCCGCAACAAATTTCTCTAAATTAACTTTAATTACTCGGGATTAACGATAACTGATTGTAGATCTAACTTAGATTCTAATAAAGTTAATATGTTATTATTTATTAGATCAAAACCATCATCTTTTGTAATATTTTATGTTTAATTTATACAAATATTTTATAAATAATAATTTAATAAATTTTGTGTTTGATTGTCATATTTTGTAATAATTGTCGTTTAAATAATGAAGAAAAATTTTCGGACCTGACCTACCTGACCAAAATATTTATTCGGACCCGTATTGACCTGACCTGAGCCTATTTTCGACCTGACCTGACCTGAAAAATCAGGTCAGTTTTCAGTCTCTAATATAGATAATAATTTTGTTGTTGGAATTTACACATATTTTTGAAATAATAAAAAAAATAATACATTAAATTATTATTAAGTAAAGTAAATTGTGCTTTAAATCTACAGTTTAATCAGTAATTTATCAACAGTGGTGTCGGTGCTGTATTGTGTCCACCATTATATCGCCAGCGATACTACCAATCGTTTTCCGTTTTTTTATGTCGACGACAGATATAACCGTCCGGTAGTCGACTAATCTAATGTCGATGTGGTGTCAGTGGGAAACTTGCGGTATATGACCGACTAAATTGCCRAAGAAAACAATGGTTCAACCGTTGTTTGTTTTGAGTGCCGACTTAAGKGAGTAAAAACCAAGAGATGTGACAACAAAAACAAGTGGAGCTCACGAGCCATACGACTGATTGAAGAGATGACTCGGAAATTATCGATAGTATTGGGAACCGTAGAGATGGACAGCTCGGGTATCGTTGTATGTGATTTGGCCATTGTATTGTAATCATAATTTTGAAAAAAATATTTTCAAATAATGTTATTAAAAAAAATATTTTTATTTATTATTTTATACTGTATCATAAATTACATAAAAATACATTTTTTGAATTTAACAATTTTTTGATTCATCAATATTTAAAATAAATAATTAATTAAATTAAATTTATTCATAAACCACTATAAAAACATTTTAAATCAAAAAGTTTTATTATTATGATTTTCTATATAACTTATAGTTAAAATCAGAAATCAAATATTGAATAATTTTTTCGAATAAATATAACAAAATGTATTTTATTAATAATTTTAAATAACAGTAATTTTTAGTATTGATTATAAATTGAATTCAATATTTTCAAATAATTTATATRTTGAAACTTTAAATTTTTATATAYTGTAGTTTTTACTAGTATTTTATAGTTGATTTGTAAAAATAATTGTCTAAAAAATTATAACTTTTTATTTTATTTGTAAATTGTTTTTTTAAATAATGTAATAAATATTTGTATTTATTATTAAATAATGTATACTACTGTATAATGAATAAAAAATAGATTATTTTGAATTTAATTTTTTTTTATTTATTAATAATATTTTTAAAAATTTCATAAATCACTAAAAAAAAGTTTATTACTATTATTTTTTTTTATAATTCATAGTATAAATAAAAATTATTAATAAGATACCAAATTTTAATACAATTAGTTTCATTTTATTATTGATTATATTTATAAATTGAATTCAATATTTCAAATAATTTATAACTAAATAATTGTTGAGATTTTTATATAATTTACAGTATTTTTATAGACAACGATTACTATACTGTATATAAATAAAATGGATAATAAAATACCTGTCAATTATATCAATTAATTCCTTACAATTGAAATTAATATTACTTTATATTGTATTATATAAAATGTATTTAATTTTATCAATTGTTCAAAGTTTATATAAAACTCAAAAGTCAACGTACAATATATTTCCAATCAATAGGTTATCAAATACTATACATTATTACATTTGTACTTAAATTATACTATGATTAATAACATTTTTTATTATAGATTTTATAGATTTATTATTTTTAGTAGCATTTATTTTCAGTACATATAGATTTATTTTTTATACAATATACTATCTAGCATGTTTTATGAAATATTATAGATATAACTAACTAATATGACTAAAAGTCTAGTTACAGGAATTAATACTTTTTATTATCTAAATTATATATTTATTAAAAAAAATCTGTTTTTATATTAAAACAATGTTTTGTTATTATTATAAACTAATTTATTACTAATTAGATTAAATTTATAAAATTTTATAATGATGTTGAAAATTTTTATAATACAAAATCATAGCCTAATAATTACTAATAGACACCCAGTATTTCTCAATAAATAAGTAAAATGCATTGCGTTTTGCTTTTATGTTTACGATTTATTAGACATTGAATTCATAGGAAATTATTTTTTTAAGAGACCTAAGACTGTGAACTGTTATCGAGTGGATGAAGATTTATATTACAATCTATTGACTACTTTTAAATAATTATTACATAATTTAAATTTAGTAAATTGTATTTAACAAAACAGTTTTTATTTATTTATATTATAAAAAAGTGAATTTAAAGTACAATTTTATTGTACAAATAATTTATAATTATTGATAACAAATGTTGTCTATTGTGGAGGAATTTTCTTCAATTCATTTTGTAGGGCATTCTCGCCAATTGTGGCCAACTTTTGGATTCCTTCTAACAATGCTTTACCGATATTAGTGGTTGGCTTCAAGTCTTGTAATTGTTTTTCAATGTCCTGAACGAAAGCAATAGTCTTCTTCAATCCGTTAATGAGCTCTGGTTTACCAGACTTTTTCAAATCATCGATTGCTTTACGCGTTTGATCGATACTATCACTGACTTGTTTGAGTACCAGGTCTTTGATATCGTCGTTGATGTCATCCATTGGCGGAACTTTCTTGAGCTCCGATTCCAACCAGACTACAGCCTCTGAAGCWATGACTGACACGCCTTTGAATATTGATTTACCGACTTCTGTGGTTGGGTTAAGAGCTTTGAGTTTATCATTGATACTCTTTGCCAATTCAATGGCTTTTTCGAGTCCGTGTCTTAATTCAGATTTGCCGCTTTTCTTAAGTGTGTCGATAGCAGTGCGCGCCTGATCTAACAGATTGGATACCTGGGCTAAGATCTGCTTCTTGACGTCGTCATCGAGRGATCGGCTTTCGAATGGAGGAATATTCTTCAATTCATTTTGTAGAGCATTCTCACCAATTGTGGCCAACTTTTGGATTCCTTCTAACAATGCTTTACCGATATTAGTGGTTGGCTTCAAGTCTTGTAATTGTTTTTCAATGTCCTGAACGAAAGCAATAGTCTTCTTGAGTCCGTTAATGAGCTCTGGTTTACCAGATTTTTCAAATCATCGATTGCTTTACGCGTTTGATCGATACTATCACTGACTTGTTTGAGAACCAGATCTTTGATATCGTCGTTGATGTCATCCATTGGCGGAACTTTCTTCAGCTCCGACTCCAACCAGACTACAGCCTCTGAAGCTATGACTGACACGCCTTTGAATATGGATTTACCGACTTCTGTGGTTGGATTAAGTGCTTTAAGTTTATCATTGATACTCTTTGCCAATTCAATAGCTTTTTCGAGTCCRTGTTTTARTTCAGATTTGCCGCTCTTCTTGAGTGTGTCGATGGCATTGCGCGCCTGATCTAACAGATTGGATACCTGGGTTAGGATCTGCTTCTTGACGTCGTCATCGAGAGATCGGCTTCCGAGTGATGCCGACTCACAAACTATAGACATATTAAGTAATATTTTTGTTAATAAATATATTCAGACAAAATAGTTTACAAAAAATATCATACCGTAGGCCACAGTCAGTAATAGGACACCGAAGACTAGAAATTTCATTTTAAGTATTTTTTATTTGTTTTTTTGATTATATGATTGACTTTTTGAATTGAATTCAATATATTCAATGACTTTTKTRTTGAGACTACAACTCTTTATATACCCAAACAAATCATTACCTGTAAAACAGTAGCAATAATAACAATAATACTGATATTGTAATACCTGTTTGATATTGAAATACTTAAATAGATTATCAATAAAACTATAATTATTATATAATACTTGTGTTCTTACTTAACAATTGTTATATTTTTTTTGTTATATCTTTAGTTTAAAGTTCACCAATTGTTCAAAGAGTAAAGTTTTTTTTAATACAAATTGTTTTTAACATTAATCAACTGTCAAACATTTGTTTCAAAAATCACATATTATTCATATTATAGTATTGTGTATTAATAGTCTATTTTAGATAAATATTAATACTGTAATTTAAATTATAATTTAATAAAAATTAATACTAATAGAGATAATAATTTTTTTTATTATTGAAATTTACACATATTTTTTGAAATATTAAAATAAGATAAATTATATGGAATTTTATTTTTACTAATTAATAAAAATTATTTATTATGCTATTATTAAATAAATTTATTTGTGCCTTAAATCTTCATTAATATATCAATTAATCTATTGATGATAAAAGTTTATATTATGAATTGTTTTGTTTTTGAAAAATAATTGATTGATAAACGAAATTACTTGTAATTAATTTTTTGTTAATTAAAAATATTTTACATAGAATTCTAGAAAAATACATTAATTTTAATATTTATACATAATTTTTATTTCCTAAAAGCTAGGAATTAGTGATAAGTATTGACACCACCATTTTTTTGGGGGGGGGTGTGTTTTAATTGGTGCCACCGCCACCAATCATATTCTTAAACCACGAATAGATAACTGGAAATAGACTAATAAAAAACTCTCTGAAACTTCGGTAGTCCAGTGATACCGAATTGACGGGTCGGTCACCACTCGTTGGCGGTGRTGATGATGATGATGATGATGGTGTCCATTCATTGGTTCGGTTTTCAATTGGTACTTCACCTTCAACTGGTCGGCTGCCAAACAGTGACCATTCAATGGTTCGGTTTTCATGATTGGTTCCTTCAACGGGTCGATTATCGGGTGTTGACGACTGGACAGATGGTACCGATTGAACGGGTTGTTGATTACCAAATAATGGCCATTCAATGGTTCGGTTTTCATGACTGGTTCCTTCAACGGGTCGATTATCGGGTGTTGACGACTGGACAGATGGTATTGACGATTGAACGGGTTGTTGATTACCAAATAATGGCCATTCATGAGGTGTTCCATCAATAGGTCGGTTGTTCTCAGGTGTTGACGACTCGACCGGTCTGTACTCAACTAGTGTTCCTTCAACGGGCTGTTTGTTCTCAACTGGAGTTCCTTCAACAGGTGTTGACGACCCCTCGACAGGTGGTGGTACCGATTGAACGGCTAGATTACCAAACGGTGGCCATAAAAAGAAACCGTCCTTAACTGGTGTCGACTCGCAAACTATTTAACAACAGAAAAAAACAATACAATATTTAATTAATATATTTTAATAATAATAAGTATTACTTATCATATAATAAAATACAATATCATTTTTTAAAGTATTAAATATTTTTTATACCATAAGTCACAGTCAATAATAGGATAGAAAATAATATAAATTTCATATTTTTTTGTGGACTAATTATATTATTAAACTGTTATATACTTAATATGTAATAATGTTTTTTAAAAAATACATCTATTTATATACAATTTAAATTGTTTTAAAAGTTAGTTTATTTTAGTTTAATAATTAGTTAGTCATGTAATAGTTATTTAGAAATATTTATAATAATAATAATAATTCATAGAAATTAGCCCAAAAAATAATGTCATTTTTAGGAAATTATATAAATAATAATTTTAAATATTTATATTGTCTATAAATAAATATTAAATAACAAATTTTTTCAATATAATTTATTAATATTGTACGTGTTAAATAGCTAAAATAGTTTGGTATGTAATGCAATTAATAAATTATAATTATATAATAAAATCCTAAAAAATGCTTATTTTTTATATTAGATAAATGTTTTATTTTTTTTATAGAAATTAAGTTTACATCAATTCAATAATAGTAACGATAAATTTTATTTTAGACTAATGTAAAGTTTTAATTGTTTTTTTTAATAGCTATTAATTTGATAGATTTAAACTTTAAAAAATGTCATTAAAAAAATACTTTAATAATTAAAATACAATGTATTAGAAAAAAACAACTTTATTCTATAAAAAATTAACTTTCTTTTAATTAATCATTATTATTGAAATGATATAAAATAAATTCATTTAAATAAAAAAAAAATTTAATTACATTAACAGTAAAATATTTTGAGATTAATACAAAAATAGATAAAAACTTATATACTGTATATATATATATAGTATTAAATACTTTAGTATACTAGAGATTAAAATGATGTTTTTTGAGACACCTGTGCGATAAGTGCATTGAAATGAAAAAAACAACATATTTTGGTGTCGACACCATTTAGTTATTTTTGTATTCATGATGTCTTCAATCGTCATCATCAAACCAACCGGAAATCCATCCATAGATAGAGGGAATGTAAGGAATGATAGAAAAAAMTGATTCCCAAAATCGGTACTCTAGTGGTACGGTTTCGTTAGGTGGGTTCCCATTTGATGGTKGTATTACTGGCCATTCATCAGCGGGTCGTTCACCATCAACTGATCCCGACTCGCAAACTATTGAGAAAATAATAATAATAATTAATATTTAATTTTTATAATATCTTATAGTCTATCATAATATCCTAAATACCGTAAGACATAATCAATAGCAATAATATTACGACACTATAGACAATGAATTTCATTTTTTGAATTACTTAGTATTGATTATTATTATTTTTTAGCAAAATAAAAATATTTTTGTAACAACTTTTCAAAAGTCAAAATTATAGTCATTTAAATTAAATTATAAATTTTTAGTTTTAATTAAACTAATGTCTTTATATAACTTATTATATAAATGATTTTTTTTAAATTGTTATTTATTATTATTGTATTAATGATTTTGTTAATGTATTTTTTTTAATTTGTTACAAAATATAATGCTATAACAAAATTATAATTTATATTTGATATAAATCAAAAAATTGTTTTATAAATAAATATTTAAAAAATGACAAACTGTTTATAATTATTTTTTTTAAATTTATTAATTTTATACGTGTTTAAATGTTGAAATTTTTTTAGCACAAATTATTGTATAATAAGACATGTTATGAATTAATTAACTAAATTTCACATATATTAATATGTGTATTTATATAATATTTAATTTAATATATATATATATATTATGCTATTTTTCTGTTATTACATAAATTTTTAATATAATTAATTAGTGATTAATATGTTTTTAGAAACTAAATAAATATTAAAAAATAATTACATTGTTTATAGTTTAGACAAAATATATTATATACTAGTATATTGAAAGTTAATGTTTAAAATACATGTTCAAAAATATTATAACTTACATTGTAATAAGTTTTTAATAATTTTTATTACACTGTATATAAAATTTAAATTTAATTGTTATATTATTTTTATTATAACTTATATTTTTAATATTTATATATATATATTAATTTATGAAATTTATATAGTTTTGATAGATTATGTTTTTAAATAACAATTTAATTAATTAATATAATTGTTAATGATTTTAAAATAAGCTATAATACACAATCACATTTAATATTAATTTATAATAAATTGATTAAACAAATATATTTTTAAAAATTAGTAAATTATTTTTAAAAAAATAACACAAAATTTATTTTCACTATGAATTAATTTTTAATATACTGTAAATTTATGATAAATATAATAGATTTTGATAATATATAAGACAATTGAATATTATAATGATATTACAAATCTTAAAACATTAGCAAAAAAAACTAATTGTATTAATAAGAAATGAAAATTTTTAATTGCAAAAGTAATTATTAATAATTAAACATTTATTATTTTTAATATACATATATTAAATTGTATTGTATTGTAATATACATATTGTATATATTTTGTAAAAAATAAGTTTTAAAATATTTATTTGATCAAAAAATAAAATTTTAAAAACCTAACCTAGTTAATCTAAACTTTTAATTAAATATTAATAACAATAATCATTGTGTAATAAATTTAATAAAATGTTGAAATTTATTGATAATTGATATTTTTAAGTGAAATTGATAATATGTACCTGAATTACATAATTTGATAAGTAATTTTTATTTTATTTTATTTAATAAAAATAGTTAGATTACAGTTATTTGATAATTAAGTAAAAAATGCTGTTTAAGCAACAACAAAAAAATCTCTAACTAAAAAAACAAGTAAATTGTATGGGAATTGATGTTAACAAATAAATGTACAGTTATTAGAGTACAAATAAAATGATAAAAACAAAAATGTTTGATAAATTATAATAGATTTGTTTTAGATTGACATTTTTGTACGTTGACTTTTAACACTGATTATAGACTTTGAACACTAGATTATTGTTTTATAATTAATTATTATATAATAATAGAAATTTAAGTAAAGGATTAATGCTAATCAAACAGGTATTACAATATTAGTATTATCATTAAACTGCTGTTTTACAGGTATTGATTTGTTTGGATATATAAAGAGTTGTAGTCTCAACACAAAAGTCATTGGATATATTGAATTCAATTAAAAAAGTCAATCATTTAATCAAAAAAATAAAAAAATAATTAAAATGAAATTTCTAGTATTCGGTGTCCTATTACTGACTGTGGCCTACGGTATGCTATTTTTTGAAAACTATTTTACTGAATATATTTATTAACAAAAAAAATATTACTTAATATGTCTATAGTTTGTGAGTCGGCATCACTCGGAAGCCGATCTCTCGATGACGACGTCAAGAAGCAGATCCTAACCCAGGTATCCAATCTGTTAGATCAGGCCCGCACTGCCATCGACACACTCAAGAAGAGCGGCAAATCTGAACTAAAACATGGACTCGAAAAAGCTATTGAATTGGCAAAGAGTATCAATGATAAACTTAAAGCACTTAATCCAACCACAGAAGTCGGTAAATCCATATTCAAAGGCGTGTCAGTCATAGCTTCAGAGGCTGTAGTCTGGTTGGAGTCGGAGCTAAAGAAAGTTCCGCCAATGGATGACATCAACGACGATATCAAAGATTTGGTACTCAAACAAGTCAGCGATAGTATCGATCAAACTCGCAAAGCAATCGATGATTTGAAAAAATCTGGTAAACCAGAGCTCATTAATGGACTCAAGAAGACAATTGCTTTCGTTCAGGACATTGAAAAACAATTACAAGACTTGAAACCAACCACTAATATCGGTAAAGCATTGTTAGAAGGAATCCAGAAGTTGGCCACAATTGGTGAGAATGCTCTACAAAATGAATTGAAGAATATTCCTCCATTCGAAAGCCGATCCCTCGATGACGACGTCAAGAAGCAGATCTTAGCCCAAGTATCCAATCTGTTAGATCAGGCGCGCACTGCCATCGACACACTCAAGAAGAGCGGCAAATCTGAATTAAGACACGGACTCGAAAAGGCCATTGAATTGGCAAAGAGTATCAATGATAAACTCAAAGCTCTTAACCCAACCACAGAAGTCGGTAAATCCATATTCAAAGGCGTGTCAGTCATTGCTTCAGAGGCTGTAGTCTGGTTGGAGTCGGAGCTCAAGAAAGTTCCGCCAATGGATGACATCAACGACGATATCAAAGATCTCGTACTCAAACAAGTCAGTGATAGTATCGATCAAACGCGTAAAGCAATCGATGATTTGAAGAAATCTGGTAAACCAGAGCTCATAAATGGACTCAAAAAGACTATTGCTTTCGTTCAGGACATTGAAAAACAATTACAAGACTTGAAGCCAACCACTAATATCGGTAAAGCATTGTTAGAAGGAATCCAAAAGTTGGCCACAATTGGCGAGAATGCCCTACAAAATGAATTGAAGAATATTCCTCCACAATAGACAACATTTGTTATCAATAATTATAAATTATTTGTACAATAAAATTGTACTTTAAATTCACTTTTTTATAATATAAATAAATAAAAACTGTTTTGTTAAATACAATTTACAAAATTTAAATTATGTAATAATTATTTAAAAGTAGTCAATAGATTGTAATATAAATCTTCATCGACTCGATAACAGTCCACAGTCTTAGGTCTCTTAAAAAAATAATTTCCAATGAATTCAATGTCTAATAAATCGTAAACATAAAATCAAAACGCAATGCAATAACGTTTTACTTATTTATTAAGAAATAATTATTATGCTATGATTTTATACTATAAAATTTTCTAAAGCTATTTATCAAATTTTATAAATTTTTGTATAATTTATAATTTTAAAGCTTTTAATCCAACCATATAAGTCCACAGTCTTAGGTTTATTAAAAAATAATTACCAATTAATTCAATGTCTAATAAATCGTAAACATAAAAGCAAAGCGCAATGCAATGTTTTAGTTATTTATTGAATAAACAATTATTAGACTATGATTTTATATTATTTAAATTTTCAACATGATTATAAAATTTTATAAATTTAATCTAATTAGTAATTAATTAGTTTATAATAATAACAAAACATTGTTTTAATATAAAAACAGATTTTTTTTAAATAAATAAATAAAATGTTTATTATATTAATTTCTTTTGTTTGTAATTTATTTATTAATTTAAAATTAAATTAAGTCTATTAATAATATTGTATATGTATTTCTTATAGGTTAAATTCCTTTATAATAAAAATATAAGCTATTTCAAAAAAAAATTAATATTTATAAAAATTTAATTTAAGCAAATAATATTGATATTATTTTATAATAAATTAATAATTTAGATAATAAAAAGTATTAATTCCTGTAACTAGACTTTTTATCATATTAGTTAGTTATATCTATAATATTTCATAAAACATGCTAGATAATATATTGTATAAAAAATAATATCAATATATATAGATATATATATATATACTGAAAATAAATGCTACTAAAAATAATAAATCTATAAAATTTATATTAAAAAATGTTATTAATCATAGTATAATTTAAGTACAAATGTATTATAATAATGTATTTGATAACCTATTGATTGGAAATATATTGTACGTTGACTTTTGAGTTTTATATAAACTTTGAACAATCGATAAAATTATATACATTTTATATAATACAATATAAAGTAATATTAATTTCAATTGTAAGGAATTAATTGATATAATTGACAGGTATTTTATTATCCATTTTATTTATATACAGCAGGCGATATCACGATTATTATACGGTCACTTACTTAAAAACATAATTACTGACCAAGATAAAAAACAAAAAATTATAATACACAAATTTAATAACCTTTTTTATATAATATTAAATAAAATATACCACTTAATTAAAATTAATATGTAACAGTGTATTTGAGCTAGATGAAATATATTATAATAAACCATAAGCTTCGACAGTGCATTTTAATCAAAAGTAATCAGAAATCACTTGAATGATCACCAGTGATATACAGTATAGTAATCGTTGTTTATAAAAATACTGTAAATTATATAAAACTTAAAGTCTCAACAATTATTTATTTATAAATTATTTGAAATATTGAATTCAATTTATAAATATAATCAATAATAAAATGAAACTAATTGTATTAAAATCTTATTAATAATTTTTATTTATACTATGAATTATAAAAAAAATAATAGTAATAAACTTTTTTTAGTGATTTATGAAATTTTTAAAAATATTATTAATAAATCAAAAAAAATTAAATTCAAAATAATATATTTTTTATTCAATATACAGTAGTATACATTATTTAATAATAAATACAAATATTTATTACATTATTTAAAAAAACAATTTACAAATAAAATAAAAAGTTATAATTTTTTAGACAATTATTTATACAAATCAACTATAAAATACTAGTAAAAACTACAGTATATAAAAATTTTCAACATATAAATTATTTGAAATATTGAATTCAATTTATAATCAATACTAAAAATTACTGTTATTTAAAATTATTAATAAATTAAATTTTGTTATATTTAATGAAAAAAATTATTCAATATTTGATTTCTGATTTTGACTATAAGTTATATAGAAAATCATAATAAAAAACTTTTTTTAGTCTTAAATGTTTTTATAGTGGTTTATGAATAAATTTAAGTTAATTATTTATTTATTTTTGATATTGATTAATCAAAAAAAATTGTTAAATTCAAAATAATGTATTTTTTACTGCAATATAGCATACAGTATACAATAATAAATAAAAATATTTTTTCAAAATTATGATTACAATACAATGGCTAAATCACATAAAATGATACCCGAGCTGTCCATCTCTACGGTTCCCAACACTATCGGTAATTTTCGAGTCATCTCTTCAATCAGTCGTATGGCTCGTGAGCTCCACTTGTTTTTGTTGTCACATCTCTTGGTTTTTACTCCCTTAAGTCGGCACTCAAAACAAACAACGATTCAACCATTGTTTGCTTCGGCAATTTAGTCGGTCATATACCGCAAGTTTCCCACTGACACCACATCGACATTAGAGTAGTCGACTACCGGACTGTTCTATCTGTGGTCGACATAAAAAAAGCGGAAAACGATTGGTAGTATCGGTGGCGATATAATGGTGGACACAATCTGTTGAATACAACACCGACACCACTGTTGATAAATTACTGATTAAACTGTAGATTTAAAGCACAATTTACTTTACTTAATAATAATTTAATGTATTATTTTTTTTATTATTTAAAAAATATGTGTAAATTCCAACAACAAAATTATTATCTATATTATTTTATCAATATTACAGTATTAATATTTATCGAAAATAGACTATTAATAATATAATATAATATTAATGTAAACTATAATAATAATATGTGATTTTTGAAACATATGTTTGACAGTTGATTAATGTTAAAAACAATTTGTATTAAAAAAAACTTTACTCTTTGAACAATTGGTGAACTTTAAACTAAAGAGATAACAAAAAAATATAACAATTGTTAAGTAAGAACACAAGTATTATATAATAATTATATAGTTTTATTGATAATCTATTTAAGTATTTCAATATCATTATTATTACTACTGTTTTACAGGTAATGATTTGTTTGGGTATATAAAGAGTTGTAGTCTAAACACAAAAGTCATTGAATATATTGAATTCAATTCAAAAAGTCAATCATATAATAAAAAAAACAAAACAAATAAAAAATATTTAAAATGAAATTTCTAGTCTTCGGTGTCCTATTACTGACTGTGACCTACGGTATGCTATTTTTTGTAAACTATTTTACTGAATATATTTATTAACAAAAAATATTACTTAATATTTCTATAGTTTGTGAGTCGGCATCAATCGGAAGYCGATCTCTCGATGACGACGTCAAGAAGCAGATCCTAACCCAGGTATCCAATCTGTTAGATCAGGCGCGCAATGCCATCGACACACTCAAGAAGAGCGGCAAATCTGAATTAAGACACGGACTCGAAAAGGCTATTGAATTGGCAAAGAGTATCAATGATAAACTCAAAGCTCTTAATCCAACCACAGAAGTCGGTAAATCCATATTCAAAGGCGTGTCAGTCATAGCTTCAGAGGCTGTAGTCTGGTTGGAATCGGAGCTCAAGAAAGTTCCGCCAATGGATGACATCAACGACGATATCAAAGATTTGGTACTCAAACAAGTCAGCGATAGTATCGATCAAACGCGTAAAGCAATCGATGATTTGAAAAAGTCTGGTAAACCAGAGCTCATTAACGGACTCAAGAAAACTATTGCTTTCGTTCAGGACATTGAAAAACAATTACAAGACTTGAAGCCAACCACTAATATCGGTAAAGCATTGTTAGAAGGAATCCAAAAGTTGGCCACAATTGGTGAGAATGCTCTACAAAATGAATTGAAGAATATTCCTCCATTCGAAAGCCGATCCCTCGATGATGATGTCAAGAAGCAGATCTTAGCCCAGGTATCCAATCTGTTAGATCAGGCGCGCACTGCCATCGACACACTCAAGAAGAGCGGCAAATCTGAACTAAAACATGGACTCGAAAARGCCATTGAATTGGCAAAGAGTATCAATGATAAACTCAAAGCTCTTAATCCAACCACAGAAGTCGGTAAATCCATATTCAAAGGCGTGTCAGTCATAGCTCAGGAAGCAGTAGTCTGGTTGGAGTCCGAGTTGAAGAAAGTTCCGCCAATGAATGACATCAACGACGATATCAAAGATCTCGTACTCAAACAAGTCAGTGATAGTATCGATCAGACTCGCAAAGCCATCGATGATTTGAAAAAGTCTGGTAAACCAGAGCTCATTAACGGACTCAAGAAGACTATTGCTTTCGTTCAGGACATTGAAAAACAATTACAAGACTTGAAGCCAACCACTAATATCGGTAAAGCATTGTTAGAAGGAATYCAAAAGTTGGCCACAATTGGTGAGAATGCCCTACAAAATGAATTGAAAAAAATTCCTCCACAATAGACAACAATTGTTATCAATAATTATAAATTATTTGTACAATAAAATTGTACTTTAAATTAGTTTTTTTTAAATATAAATAAATAAAAAATTTGTTAAATACTATTTACTAAAGTTATTACAGTATTTTGTTAGTATTAATAAATAGAATGTAACTAAAMTTTTATAATATCTAATAATTYATTAATTTAAGTAAAAATTACCGAAATAATTTAATATTATTTTTAGTATTAATTTATTATTATTTAATAATTTGTATAAAATCTTTTAAATACTTGAAATATACTTATTTCAGTATTATCAAATATATTTAAACAACTAATATAAATTAATTTGTTAATTGGTATATATTAATTTCTATTAACTAATTAATCTCTATTATATTAGAAAATTATTTTTTTTAAATAATTATAATTATTTATATTRAAAATWATTTTTATTATAGAATTGAATGTCAAATGTTGAAAAATATTTATTTATAATAAATTTTACAAAACATAATAAATTCAAATAATTATAAAATGTTTAACAATAA